GTGTACACGTTCTTTTCCAGGCAAGCGTTGAGAACTTATATGCTAATTGAAGAATTGGTATATAAATTTGGGTAAATTCTTCTAAAGGTCCCTGATACTACCAAAATTCGTACCTGCAGATTTTCCGAGCTTGATGATTCGGGTTGATCACGATCGTAGTCTTCCAGTACCTAAAACAAAGGCAACGAGGTATGTTCTCGTCGCCCCTCCGATACTTAAATCAGAAAGGGAATTATATGCGTGATGCTATATGCTGGAGAATAATGAAAAACGTACCTGAATAATGGCTCAAGGTTCTGTATGTATTTATAGTAGTAAGCGACATTCTCCTAGTGGGACTCAACTAGCTGGATGTCCTTATCTGTTAGAGTCCTGAATAGTTAAGGAGTTGGTCAATTCCATAATTATATGTGGGATAGAATCATTGCAAGAGTCAAATATATGGTTGAGTTAGAGTCCTAATTGCGTAGGAATTCTAAAGGGTCAACAATCGTAGGTTGTGAGGGGAGCATATGCTCGAGGACAAGTATTGCAATATGCGAAGCAGCCAGGCGGGATGTGGTCGGGCATAATGTCTCGAGGCCACCACATGCTCGAGGACTCCATAGTTGGAGTTATAAGTTCATCGAAAATAGTCATCGAGATAATTTTGTGATCGAGCTGCTGGAAATGTCGCTATCATTGGCCCCCGTGCATATATGCTCGAAGCCTTCGCTCGAGGATATGATGCAAAGAGACTGGAAATAAGATGTCGCGAATTTAACTCGAGGATGTTTTCAATGATAGGTGTTAAGAGGTCGGGAATTTAGCTCGAGGATGTTTTCGATGACAGGTGTTCAGAAGGGCTGACGTGTACTGAGGTAAGCCCTAAATAGGAAAAGACGGTAAAAAATGGCAGGGGGTGGATGTAGGACACGTGGCCAGATCTGACGGTCGGGATAGTGACCTTTGGACTACCCGCTTCTGTTGCCTATAAATACCCTCTCCACATTTCATTTTTCACTTTTTACTCTCAGTAAACTTCTCTTGCTAATCGTCGGGATCAGAACTTTGAGTTTTTAGGCGTCGACTTTAAGGTAAGACCTCGAGTTTTTAAGTTATTCTTTAGGCACTTTTTTACCTAGGTCAGGATGTCTAGCAGTAGTAGTACTGAGTCTTCGTTCTCCTCCTCGAGGAGTATTTCCGAGGACATAGGATGCTCGATCATACCTATGGCCGTCCCAATTAATGCCGAACCTCGAGCACAAAGTATCCCGACCCCATTTAGGTACCCCGAGGTTCCTGGTAAATTTAAAGAGCATCTAGCAATATCGACGGCTAGGAAACATGGGCTCATGCCAAAATGTGATATTAGGACGCCAGGGGTAGAGGATAGGATGGCCTTTGCTCGGGATGGAGAGTTCGTGATTTTTAGGGACTCACTTAAGGGGGGATTTAGATGGCCTCTGCATCCCTTTTTGTATCTTTATTGGTCGACCATAACATGAGCCCTAGACAGCTTGTGCCAAATGGGTGGATGATGCTCACCTATTTTTTTTATAGCCTGTAGATACCTAGGAATTAACCCATACGTCGATCTTTGTAGAATGGTCTTCGACTTGAAACAGTTACCTCAATATACCTGTTTTGCTTACCTTTCATCCTGAGGAGGCTTTAGATTACCGAGGATGCCCAGTTCATTGAAAGGATGGAAAGAAAAGTGGTTTTATGTCACACCTCAGGATAGTGACCTTCCTTTTAGTCCTAGGTGGGTTTTGCCCAATACTCCCAGGTTTTGTGAAGGTCAGGCCTATTTTGAGTCATTAGAAAGGCATACGATGATGTTAGAGAACCTCGAGCCTCTTGTATATGATATAGATGACATCCTCGGGGATGACGTTCTCGATCTCGCGGATGTGAAAGGCACTGAGCGTAGGGATCATCTTTTTGCCTTCTTCCTTACTGATATGTCTTTGAAGGTATAATTGTGCTCATGTAAATGACTTGTTTTTTGCAGAGATGACTTTTGATCCTTCAGCCCTCAAGCAGGCCGTGACCAAAAAATCGAAGGCCCCTCAAGCTCGAGCTCCAGGTCAAAAGAGAGGGAAGAAGAGAGCTCGAGATTCAGGCCCCGAGAATATTAGGAATGGGCCAGGGAAACCTTCTGCCAGGGGACAATCCTCGACCATACAGGCCAATGAGACTCCAACTGCCCCACCTCGGTCACGTCCTCGGTTAAGGCGTGCCCTCGAGGTTGTTGATCTTAAGGATGAGGTCCCATCTATGCCCTCATTCCAAAATCAAGATCCTGACCGGTGTCCCCTGGTGTCCAGCATCGTGGACAAGTATCGAAAGGACCTCAGTTTTGATGAGGGTATGAAGGCTCTTGAATCTCTCACTTTGAAGGTAAGCTCGCTCAACTTACTTGGTGTAATTTATGGGTTTATACGATGTGATTGCTTTAAGCTCGGGTTTATATGATGCAGGCTCTGAGCATTGCCCGAGGCCTTTCTCTGAAGGGGAAAGACGAGGCACAAAAAACTACTGAGCTCGAGGACACTTCTCGAGCACATGAGAAGAGGATAGTCAACTTGGAAGCTGAGTGCTTCCTCCTCCAGAGGGAGCTCGAGGACTCGAAGAACGACGTCCAGAGAGCTCGGGAAGAGGCTGGAGTTGCCAAGGGCGAGATCGAAAAGCTCGAGATCGAGCGTTTGAAGATTGATTTCGAAACTCGCCTGGTTGAAGCTCGAGGGGTTGCGATCGAGGATTTCAAAATGTCCGAGGAGTTCAACGGACTTAAGGGAGAGTACGCCATGGGCTCATACGTCCACGCTTTCAAAGAGGCTCGGGCATTTTTGAGGTCGAAGCCTGACGCCAAACCCGAGGATTTAAAGAGCATCCCTGAGGTTGCTGATGACCTCGAGCTTTCAGAGTCTGAGGAAACCGTCGGGGACCATGAGGTCGATATTGACGGTGAGGACGCGGCGGAAAAGCAGAGGAGCACGGCCTCGGGAGAAAGAGCCGAGGACCTAGATTAGTTTATGTTTTTTCTCATGATGACATCCCCCCTTTTTTTGTATTTTGAATAAGTATTATGCTCGATCTTAGATAATGTTCCATTTATGGTATTTTGCTCGATCAAGTATTTTTCATTTTGCGCGATTATGTATGGCTGATGTATCGATCATGACAAACTCAAATAGCTCGACGTTAAGATGGTTCAATAACTTGACGCCTAAGATGAATTGACAACTTGACGCCTAGATTAATTAAATATCTCAAGCACTCAATTTGTAAAATCATTTTTGAACATCAAGTGTTGAACTCGAGCATGTAGACAAGTTATCTCGAGAACTCAATTTGTAAACTCATTTATGAACATTATGTATTGAGCTCGTGCATACACAAAGTTATCTCGAGGACTCAATTTGTAAACTCATTTATGAACATTATGTATCGAGCTCGAGCATGCATGACGACGTAATTGTACCGACCTATAGCGTGTTCCCGAGGACTGCAAATGGCCTTTTTATAGATCCCTCATACCATTGATCGGGCACTGTGTGATCGGGAATGTTACTTGACATGCTTGCGCGGGGCAAGGCTTGTTGATTGCTTGCACGGGGCAAGTCTTTAGTTGTTTACGTGGGGCAAGGCTTTTTTGATTGCTTGCGCGGGGCAAGACTTGAGTTACTTGCGCGGGACAAGGCTTTTTTGATTGCTTGCGCGGGGCAAGGCTTGAGTTGCTTGCGCGGGACAAGGCTTTAGTTGCTTGCACGGGGCAAGGTTTTTTTTTTATTGCTTGCACGAGGCAAAGCTTGAGTTGCTTGCGCGAGACAAGGCTTTTTGTAGCTAGATCATATTTTGACGAATTGCTTGATTCTTATTATACTTCAAAAACAGACTTGGCACGCAAGCCTGACAACTAAAAACGTGAACCTTGGCACGCAGGCCTAACAAGTGAAAACGTGAACCTTGATACGCAGGCCTGACTACCGATAACTGGAAGACCAAGTTACTTGTAATATATCTTTAAATTCTCTGCGTTCCATGGTCTTGAAGCGGCCTTTCCTTAAACTGTATGTGCCTCCTTGGAGCTGTCGTATGACTTCGAAGGGCCCTTTCCAAACTGGTCCTAGCTTGCCCGGGGCATGACCTGCTGTTTCAGCCCTTCTTAACACAAGGTCTCTGGCTCTAAATCTCTGTGTCCTTACTTTTTTATTGAAGTACTTTGCTATTTTATCCTGGTAGGAGGCCATTTTTAAAGCTGCCCAATCACGAACTTCTTCCAAGAGGTCGAGGTGTTCAGTTGTGCGCCCTGCATCTTCGGGCTCGAGCCTCCTTTGGCTGGGCAACCTGACTTCAACAGGGATGGTGGCCTCAATTCTAAAAGCCAACATGAAGGGGGTTTCCCCTGTAGCAATTTTGTGTGACGTTCTATACGTCCAAAGTATGGAAGGCAACTCGTCAGACCAGGAACCTCTTGCATCGTCGATCCTTGTACGGAGGTCTTGCAATATAATCCGATTGGTCACTTCGGCGAAACCATTACTTTGAGGATGGGAAACCGACGTCAAACTGTGATCAACACCTAGGTCGGTACAAAAGATTTTAAATTGTGCATTGTCAAACTGCCTGTCATTATCAATTATGAGGACTTTCGATATCCCGAACCTGCATATGATGGATCTCCAAATGAAACTTCTTAACTTCGGCTCTGAAATTGTTGCTAAAGGTTCAGCCTCTACCCACTTAGTGAAATACTCTACAGCTACAGCCACAAACTTCAATTGTCCCCTACTTATTGGAAAGGGACCAAGGATGTCAATTCCCCACTGCTCAAATGGGGCTATGCAACTAATGCTATTGAGGTCTTCTGCGGGAGGGTGGATAACATTGCCAAATCTTTGGCACTTGTCACACTTTTTGACATATTCCTGGGCGTCTTTCTTCATGGTTGGCCAATAATATCCATACCTTATGAGCTTGAAGGCTAAAGCCCGAGCTCCTTGATGGTTCCCTCATACACCTTCATGAACTTCTTCTAGGGCCTGGGATGATTCGGAAGGCCTAAGGCATCTGAGGTACGAAAGTGTGAGGCTCCTGTGAAATAAAACACCTTCAATCATGCAATACCTCGGAGCTTTGGACCGGATGCTTCTCGCTGCTCGAAGATTTGTTGGAAGACTGCCATGTTTTATGAAGTCCACTATTGGATCCATCCATGATGGCTCATTATCAATATCCATGATGCCTACAGTCTGATTGATGCTTGACTCAGTTACAATTCTGACATGGACTGTCCCATCAAGCCCATTTATTCCCATGAACACCAATCTTGACAAGGCATCTGCCCTACAATTCTCAACCCGAGAAATTTTTACAATTTCACAACTCTTGAATTTTCTCTGGAGATCATGCACTTTCAAGCAGTAGAAGCTCATCTTCTCATCCTTTCTATCGAACGTCCCTTCGATTTGCTCAACCACCAACTGGGAATCACTATAAATTTTGATATTTTCAAGCTCGAGATTTATGGCGAGTTCCATAGCTATGATGACGGCCTCATACTCAACTTCATTATTGGTCGCCTCAAATTCGAACCTTAGTGCACACTGAATGTTTATGAGCATGCCCGGACTTATGATGATGACCCCTGTGCCCGAGCTCGAGGAGTTCGATGCTCCATCTACGAAAATTTCCCACGCAGTTATGCTCAAGCTCGAGCTACTATCTGGCCCCCGAGGCCTTGGAGTGAGTTCTGCAATGAAGTCAGCTAATGCCTGACCTTTGATAGATGGATGGGGCTTGAACTCTATGTCAAATTCTCCGAGTTCAATTGCCCACCTTAATAATCTTCCTGAGACGTCTGGTTTCTGAAGAATGTGTTTTAGAGGCTGATTGGTAAGCACAATAATAGGATGTGACTGGAAATATTGCCGAAGTTTTCGTGATGCTACTATCAGTGCAAGGGCAAGTTGCTCTGCCAATGTGTATCTTGTTTCTGCATCAAGTAAGACTTTGCTTACGTAATAAATGGGTTGCTGCCCCTGTTAACCTCTTTCATCAAGACACCACTCACTGCATTCTGAGATACGGCTCAGTACAAATACAGAGTATCTCCAGGCTCGGGTTTGGTGAGGATAGGAGGAGATTCCAATGTCTGCTTGAGCTCTTGAAAAGCCTTCTCACACTCCTCATTCCATTCAAAGTAATGATTACCCCTGAGGGTTTTGAAGAAGGGGAAGCACCTGTCTACTGCTCAGGACATGAACCTATTTAAGGCAGCCCTGCCTGTCAACTTTTGAACCTCTTTCTTGGTCCTTGGTGATTCCATTGCTGCTAGAGCCTGAATTTTGTCGGGGTCAGCCTCAATCCCCCGATAAGTGATCATGAAACCTAGAAACTTTCCTGAAGCTACGCCAAATACACACTTCTCTGGGTTGAGCTTCATCTTATATTTTCTTAGGGTGGCGAACACCTTCTCAAGGTCGGATATATGTTCCTCCACCTTCTTACTTTTTACAACCATGTCATCCACATAGGCCTCGATGTTCTTCCCTATCAAATCGGCGAAGACTTTGTTGATGAGCCTCTGATATGGTGCCCAGCATTTTTCAACCCAAATGGCATCACCCTATAGCAATATATGGCTGAATCAACCATGAATGAAGTCTTCTCTTGGTCTTCTTTGGCCATGAGGATTTGATGATATCCTGAGAATGCATCTAAGAAGCTGTACAGCTTATGTCCGGATGTGCTATCCACAAGATTATCGATCCTAGGTAGCGGGTAGCTGTCCTTTGGGCATGCCTTATTCAGATATGTGAAGTCAATGCAGACCCTCCACTTACCGCTGGTCTTTTTTACCAGAACAATATTAGCGAGCCAATCGGGGTATTGGACTTCCCTTATGAACCCCGCCCCCAACAATTTGCCGACTTCCTGAATGATCACATGTCTTTCCGGTGCAAATTGTCTCTTCCTTTGCTTAACAGGTTTGGCCCCTGGGCTGATATTAAGTTTATGGACAGCTACTTATGGGTCTATCCCTGGCATATCCCCCACCTTCCATGCAAAAACATCAATGTTACGAGACAAAAAACTAATGACTTCCTCCCGAAAATTGGCCTTTAGATCCCGACCAATAGTAACGATTTTTCCGTGCTCGAGCTCAACCACTTCTAATTCCTCAACGGGGGCCAATCTACCCCTTGGCTCGAGCTTGAGGTCTACGAGTTGCATGACGTCAGCACTCATGCCTCAGATGCTTGTAACATAGCACTGTCTAGCCGCCGTTTGGTCTCCTCGAACTACTCCGATGCCATGACCTGTCGGGAACTCCATGGCGAGGTGAAAAGTTGACACAATAGCCTGGATCTTGTTCAGTAGCGGTCTTCCCAGAACGATGTCGTAGGCCATTGGGGTGTTAACCACTTGGAATGGTGTGATCTCCGTCACTTGTGTACTACCAGCTCCTAATGTAAGTGGGAGCTCGACGATGCGTTCAGGGATAATGATTCCACCACCAAATCCTTGTAGGGGAGTTTTTACTGCTTTGAGCTGCTTGGGAGAGATTCCCATTTTGGCGAAAGCCTCCTGCGACAGTATGTTTGCGGCACTCCCATTATCAACCAGAATCCTCCTTACTTCGAAGTTAGCCACAACCGCAGAAACGACCAAGGCATCGTTATGAGGATATGATATTCCTTCCAAATCTCTTGCACCAAAAGTGATGTCTTTAACTTCATCACTGGATTCTCTTGTGGTATGAGCATGTTGGCGGGTATACTTCTTCCGCCCACTACTTGTGTCTCCATCGGATGCTATGCCCCCAACAATAATATTAATGGTTCCGACAGTAGGTTGAGCACTGCTTCCAGCCCCAGGCTCTTTCCGATTGTCCAGGTCATTCCTTGGCCGTTTATCATGACCAATGTAATTCTTTAAAAATCCTCTTTTGATAAGGGCTTCAATTTCTCGCTGTAAAGCATGATAGTCCTCTGTAGTATGCTCATGATCCCGGTGAAATTCGCAATACTTGCTCCTATCTCTTGTGTCAAGGGGCAACTTCATCCTTGAAGACCACTTTAATTCTTTCATATCCTTAACTTCCATCAAAATGTTTGTCTTAAACGTGTTCAACCGAGTGAGAGGTGCTGATGGCACCTCGTTCCTGCGCTTATCCCGAGGAACTCATGCCTAGGGACGGGATCATGTTGCCTTTTGTCCTCGGTCTTTTCATGAAAAGGACCAGGTCTCCTTGGATTTAGTGTTTCTTCCATATTGATGTATTTTTCAGCTTGGGTGAGGAGCTCGGTCACTGTCTGCGGCGGGGTCTTTGATAAAGACATCTTGAAAGCTTCACATCTTATGGCGTAAGTGAGGACAGAGACAGCTGCTGTGATGTGGAGGTCGAGTATTTGAAGCCTTTCCTTGTTGAACCTTGTCATAAATCCTCGCAGGGTTTCGGTTGGTCCCTGGCGAAGTTGCATGAGAGAGGCCGCGGTCTTCCTAATTCGCTTGCTACTTGCAAAGAAGTCTGAGAACTTATCAGCCAAATCTGAGAATGAGGCTATGGAGTGGGGCTCCAATGTCGAGAACCAATTTTGCAGCATTAGTCAGCGTTTGTGGAAAGGCTTTGCACATAAACTGATTCGGCACAACTTGCAAGTTCATGACATCAGTGTATACATTGAGATGGTTGATGGGGTCGGTAGTCCCATCATACTCTTTAATGCGATGATACTTGAATATGTCGGGCAAGGGATATGTCAATATCTTTGGCGTGAATGGAGTGTTAGGGGTGAAGCCTGTTGGCCCCCGAGCATTACGTTGCAGGCCAGCTATAATTCCTTCTTGAATGATCCAGACAATTTCACTGGAATTCATGGCGACCGATCTCGAGCTTGAGGCCATATTATGAATGCTCGAGGTTCCAACTCCGCCATTTGCTGGGTTTGGTGGTCGTGCTCGAGCATCAGCCATAAAACCGCCATGCTCCACCTGCACTGGCCAGGGATGTGAATTTCTTTGATTTAACTGTTGCGTGAGGGTGGCCACCTACTGACGAAGCTCTTCAAAGGCTTCGATTGTAATAACTGCTGGCAGAGGTGTGGGCACTCCCGAGGATTCTTCATGAGGAGCCGGTTGATCTTCGGCAGGATGATGGATGGAAGTGGATGAGCTTGCAGGAGGAAGACCTGATCGCGTGTTAACCATGACTTTTGGTAGCGTTTCCCACAGACGGTGCCAATGATGCTACCAAAATTCGTACCTGCAGATTTTCCGAGCTTGATGATTCAGGTTGATCACGATCGTAGTCTTCCGGTACCTGAAACAAAAGTAACGAGGTGTGTTCTCGTCACCCCTCCGATGCTTAAGTCAGAAAGGGAATTATATGCGTGATGCTATATGTTGGAGAATAATGAAAAATGTACCTGAATAATGGATCAAGGTTCTGTATGTATTTATAGTAGTAAGCGACATTCTCCTAGTGAGACTCAACTAGCTGGATGTCCTTATCTGTTGGAATCCTGAATAGTTAAGGAATTGGTCAAATTCCATAATTATATGTGGGATAGAATCCTTGCAGGAGCCAAATATATGGTTGAGTTAGAGTCCTAATTGCGTAGGAATTCTAAAGGGTCAACAATCGTAGGTTATAAGGGGAGCATATGCTCGAAGACTGCTGATGCTCGAGGACAAGTATTACAATATGCGAAGCAGCCATGCAGGATGTGGTCGAGCATAATGTCTTGAGGCCACCACATGCTCGAGGACTCCATAGTTGGAGTTATAAGTTCATCGAAAATAGTCGTTGGGATAATTTTGTGATCGGGCTGCTGGAAATGTCGCTATCAGTCCCTAATCTTTCACAAGTGTTATATTCACATCCCCAATCTTCTATTTGTAGCACCAATTGTCCCAACCTTTTAACATCGTGCATATTGGCATCCCCATCTGACAGAAAAATTCTTTTTTAGACGTTAAATGATCACATGACAAACACATGGTGCCTAAAAAGTTGAAATTATTCAAAAAGGCATAGTTTTATATAAGTTGAACAATCGCAATTATTTAATTTATGGAGTAGAGATTTTTTTTTTCAAAAATTTTACCGTTTTAGTTATACTTACTATCATGTAGTCATTTAACATTCAAATAGATATTTTCGTTGATGGGGGGTTTTGTAAGTGTTAAAAGGTTGAAGAAATAAATGCTACAAATGAAAGATTTGAGCTATGACTACCACCTTATGAATGATTGGAAACCTTGAAATAATTTACCTTATAATTTTCTCACACGATTTTAGTGCATGTTTGATTCACTTTAATCATTGGAGAGAAAATGAGTTTTAAATAGTATTTTTAGAACAACATAGGATTAGAAAGCAGAAAAATGTATAAAATATTTTATTTTGTGAACGTGAATTAAAAATAATAACAAACCATAAAATAAATTAACCGTAACTTTAATAGTCTCGCGTCAATATAGGTATTTTTGTCTCCGGTTCTAGAGCCTGTCTAACTAGCCTTTGAATTTTGAAGGAATTGGGACTTCACCAAAACCCTAGTACGTAAAACCTCGACTGGTAAGTTCTCCATTTCTTCATCCTTTTCGATTTCCTCTTGCTTCGGTATGCGTTCGGAATGTTCATTTGTTTATTTATTATACTAAGATTTCTCCTTTTTTAAACCGTATTTTCCTTTTTTTTTTCTCTCTCGAAAATAAGGCTATCGTTGTTCTTGTTGCAGTTTTTTTGGTTGATCTGGAATTCTTGAAACCAATCGAAGATGAGGTCAGTTAACAGGAACTTTGCTTTAATTTTAAATGTAAACGATTTTGGTTTTCGTTTGTAAGTAAAATCCTTGGTTGAATTTATCGGACTCCAGTGACTTGTTATGAGCGTTCCAAAATTTTGGTACTTTCAGTCTTTATTTTCGAAATTGATAGGTTGTTAGATATTTTATGTTCACTTTTTGAGGTTGATGTAAAACGTCCAAATTAATTTTTGCAGCTTGGCGATAAGAGAATAAATTATTGATTACTTCTAACTGGGACTGGAGTTTATCAACTCTTTTGGTGTTTCTGTAGTTCTTGCTGTTTTTCTTATAATTTGGCTGTGATTACTGATATTTTTTTGGTTTCCATGTATTTGCAGTAGGCCAATGGAAGAGGATGCTCCTGTAAGATTTATCTTGCTCTTTTTCTTTTCTTCTGTTCTTTAGATATTTTTAGTTACGAAATTTGGCTTGCTATAACTATGATGATATATAAATTCATGCTTTAAATGCTGGGCTGCTTGTTCATGTATTGTTTTTTCCCAGTTAGTGATGAAGCACGAATACCATTTTAGAATTCGTTAGCTGACGAGACTAACACAAATGCTTATTTCCCTATTCACTGCTATTTTTGTTAGTGGGCACATGCTATCTGCTACGCTAGATGCACCATGTCAGAACTGGTGACATTTCTTGGCACACATCAAATTGATTTCCTGTCAATTATGGTAGTTCTAATAGTTAGGCACTTGATAAAATCCAATTGTAAATTTTTTATATTTTTGCTCTTTGGTTTTAATGCGGCTGCTTGTTCCTGTTTTCAACTTTCAATTTATTTTTATAGACTTTGATTTGATTCTAACATCCATTTGTTAGCATCATGGACGCATGAGTTTCTCATTTCTATATGAAGGTTGATGAATCTTCTCATTCTTAATTTGCCTTTTTAATTTTGATTCCATGTAATTTTTTTTTTGCTCTTAATTCTTTTGGACTTAGATTTGCTTACGCAAAGCTTTTTATTGACAGACTAAGAACGAAGAAGAGGAGTTCAACACTGGTCCTGGAGGAAAATATCCTGGTTTAACGCACATTTATACATTTGTTGATCTTCGGAAAACGGGTTTTTGTTTCTTGATAGAGCAATGATTTAGGTATACTGAAGCATGTTGAGCTTCAGAATTATTCCTTATTATAATGGTTTTAACAGACACATTTTTATATTTGATCTTTGGAAAACAGGCTTTTTGTTTTTTGATAGAGCAATGATTTAGGTATACTGTATAGCAGTTGAGCTTTAGAATCATTCCTCATTATCATTTTATGTTGTACCATACAGTGCTACTTTTATAGCATACTAAGTGCCTTCATTTGATGCAGGTAGTGGTTACTAGAGGAAAATATGGATCTACTTCTGATTCTGGAAGAGTTAGCTGATGGTTTTCATTTTGAAGTTCTTCTACTCGCATATTCATGAGGTTGATGAGAACTACATAAGCCTTTTTTATTAGCCCAGTATGTATTGGATAGACTTGAACTTTTGAGCCGTTGTGAGTTATGAAGCTATACTTTCTATTCAACTGATTTAAGATGAATTGATTACTAAAATCTTGCTAACTGCTGTAAAGGTTTTCTTTCAGCTTGGTTTTTATGTGCTCAGTTTTCTTGTCCATTGGTTGTCAGATTATTTTTTTCACCAATTTCTAACAATCTTATGTCTATTAGTTGGCTCTAGAAATTTAAGAAATAGGGTAGATGGTGATCTAGATCCAATTGCTCTGTCTGTTGAGATATATTAAGAGCCCGGCTGCATGCTTTTTCAGTTTATCTTAGTTTGGAATATATGATGAATTAGATTATAGAATAAAACTTAATACACTTGCTTGCTCACGTTACAAGGGATTAAAATACGCAAGCGTACTAAAAATAAAAAATTAAACATTTACCTTATGGATTAGATGAAAAATAGGATTCGGATAGTTGCACTTATTTATATTGTATTGAGTTTTGATTTTGGGTAAGTCAGGTGAGACAAAATTTAGATGGTTACTGGGTTTGTGGTTAGGAAATTAGCATTAGAACTCGTATAGCTCTGGCTAGCTTAGCTGCTTCAAGATTTGTGTCAAATATGATTGCAGGGTACATTTTGGGTACGATGTTGATTTGCTATTTAGGTGTAAGTTTTATTTGGTGAACTGTATACCAATATATTTCTTTTTAGAAGGATGGACCTATCAATGAAGAAAAAACTGCACTGACAACAAACATTGTGCACTAAACATGTTTATCAAGTACATATCTAATCGTGTTTGCATAATCCAAATATCTAATAAGTGCTCAAAAGCATTAGGCCCCTAAAAAGGTGATTATGACTCTCAAGAAGGATTAATAACTTGTGTGGCAGGTAGGATTATGTGCATTTTTACCAAAAAATAAAAAAAAAAAATTGCTGGAATAACCACCTTAAGTTGTTCTGATGTGCCAACATTGAAATGTTAAAACCGATTCATTCCCACTGCTAATACCATGGAAAAAAATAGCAGTGAAGTTATTTAGGTAGCTGTGACCTTAAGTGTTTGGCACAGAATTGAAGACCATAACTTCTCAAGTACATTAAAAGTCATAAATGCTAAGATAAAAACAGACTATAAACTATTTATACTATAAGGTCGGACCTAGCCCCCTGCGTATGTGCACACCTGTCTCCCTTGAAAGTATATTTCCTCTCATAAATTTTGAAGAATGCTCACGTTCCTTGTGGTCCTCGAAGATACGTTGACTGAAGTCAGTGACCATCATCAGGAGACCCTTACGAAGAGGCACTTAAGGCTCCCAACCCAGCAATTTCTTCGCCTTAGAAATAGCAGGCTTCCGCTCGTGGGAATCATCCTCTGTGTTGGGTCTGAATTCTATCTTAGCATTAGGATCAATTGTTTCTTGAACCACCTGTTCCAAAAGAATAAGAAATGTGCTTAATTTACTGCGAATCTATAAATGCAAGCTTAAAGATCTAAGCGTCCTGTATATTTGAAGATCGTCTTCTATGAGTTTTTGCAATTACACTAGTAATCCTTCCCCAAATTTCATCTTCACTCCCTTGCAATGGATTATATGAAATTAATTCCCCCAAAGGAGGCCTTCTTTCCACCCCCAAGAAGGGCCAATCCACGATTTATCGTATAGAGGCTTATATTACTGGAGTCTTTGGATAGCATTATAATTACTAAAATTCCGAAGTGATAGAAATGAATGATGGAATACTGGGTAACAGTTGTGGATTCTATGAAATATTTGATTTCGAAAAGTAAATTATAAGTTACTTTTTGGGTTAATCAACCATAGTCCCTGTGTCACATTTCATTCTTGTAGTGCTATGGACATTGCTAAATATAACTATTTAAAGATTTGGCAAATCTGTTGCTTGTTGCTAATGGAATGCACAATTTTCTATTCTTTTAAGACAATAGAATTGAGGAGTGAACTGAGAGATTACCTTAGCAAGTTCAAGCATTGTGAATTCACCTGGGTTTCCTAGATTGAATGGTCCGACACGTTCTCCTTCCAATTTCCATCGAGCGAATGAGCTGCTCAACCGAACAAATCAAACAGAAAACTTACTCTAATAAATTTTTCTTTAAAATAAACTAGTACTAGTCATGTATATGTTGGAAATATATCTTTGCAAAAGAGGAAAAGGAGAAAAAACATGAAAACAAAACCAGAAATATGAATATGAAATTCGAAGGCACGAACACATCGTCGTTGTCCTCAAACAATATTCGCCTCCTTCTCGAATTGAAATTTGTGCTCAAAGGGATAATCTGCAAATGGTTTGAAGGATTAATCAAGTCTTGAAAGGTATAACCATTTAACCACTTAGTGTGATTCCTCAAAACATTAGAATACGATAGAAAGGATTTGAATATGATCAAATAGTATGATAATCTTTGGCGGAATGAAAAATGTAATGGCCAAAATTCGTTTTTCAAGTGTTCTTCAATTGATTACCAGTGACCTATATATAGACTACAAAAACACTCCACGAATTGGCATTAAAACAAAATGAACAGCAACTAAAATTCAAACAAAAACGGCCATCAACGACTATTTTAATACACTATGCGGTCGCATAGTATAAACCTAGGCACTATGCGACCACATAGGTTGTTCGAATATGGAGCCTTTAGGCCGTGCAATACCCTATATGACCGCACCCTTTTAGGGCCTATGCGGTCGCATAGGTCATGTTATGGCCTATTGATTTCCATTTCAATTCCACATATATTTTGTTGAAATTTGAACAATCATAGAACATTATACACAACAACTGCCACAAACTATGCCTTCACGGACTTTGTTACTTGTACATCAAGTTTTACACAATAGATTACATAATGTCATATGTTACTCTATCATTTGCCATTTTAAAATATTATCAACTTTTTCATCCAATCTTTTCCCTCCACATCATTTTATGTAATTCCTTATATACAATTTTTATGTACAAATATCATAATCTATGGCTTCAATACATCTCCTAAACAACTGGACTAGAAAAGACTTAAGCCTTGTTTGAGCCCCGTTTTTCTAAAAATTCATTTTTTCAAAACTCTTTTTTTAATCACACACTCTCTATCAATATATTATTCAAAAAGCATTATTTCTCTAAAATGGGGTTCAAACAAGGATTTAGTACAAGAGAAGTTTCTATTATTATTTTAGTGAAAATAGAAGATATCCATCCCGCCCCTTTGTCGTGATTTGTAAATCATAGCAAGAAATTCCGAGGCATTCTCATGGTCCGAATTATGAAAGAGATGGGAAGCCAAGACTGCTTCCCCCCCCCCCCCCCCCCCCCCCCCTCCTTCTAATAAGATCATAATTTACTTTCCAACAGAAAAAGATCTTTTTAAGTGTAAAGTTTATATACACACTCTTTTTCTCTTTGCCCATCTTTGAAGAGCATTTATGTGCATAAAGTTGCGAATTTTGCTAATCGTTCAGGGCTACATGGACGGCCACATGTGCCTTTGGAGGGCCCAAAGGTCACACTTAATTTGATTGAAAATAAGTAAAACAAATAATAACGACGGGGGGCTAAAAAATCAATAATTATCACATCAGAGTTGTCTTTAGCAAAAGATAAAGAATAATGTTATGTAGTCTTATTAGGGTTACAACTCTAGTTTAAATTACTTTAGATAATAGGTTAAATGAAATGTGAAATCAAATGAGTTACTTGATTCTACCTATCAATTAATATTACATTAGCGCCACTTAAGCTGAATTACAATTTCAATGTAATTAAATAGCATTACTCAATGATGAGACTTCATAAGTGAGAACATCGCCGACATTAGAATTATATGATTCACAATAAAAGCTAAAAAGAAGAAACAAGGGAATAAAATAAGAATTAATCTACTCGTACAACGATGGTTGATAAAATTTGTTGACAATGTTTGATATTGGGAGCCTATTTGCTACGAATTAAAATTTGATTTTAATTTAGGTTAAAATTAAACAATCAATATTAATCACATCTTTTATCAGTCTCACAACTTTTTAATCACACATTTCAAAAACTTTTATCACAATCTACTAAATATCTAATTTTAATTTCTACCAAAAACACTCATGGCAAAATATGGACAGTCGAATTTAAAAACAATTTTTAAATTTTTTTGAAATGGATGAAGGTCATCATTGATAAAATAATTAATAAGTCTATGAACTTGCACACTAATTCAATATTAGCCCTTGTTTGAGTCTCATTCTTTTGAAAAAAATGTACTTTTTAACAATATTTTAACATCACTTCAATCACATATTTTTCAATAAAATAATATTACACGCAAATCCAAAATTTTTCTTTATTTTTTAATCACATATTTCTTATTAATACATTATTCAAAAATTCATTCACTCTTCCAAAATGGGGCTCAAACAATGGGTTAACCTTTTAAATAAAAAAAACATTTATAAGACTAGTTTAATGCCCGTGCAATGCACGGGCTGTGGTATTTTCTAGGTAATGTTAGCATTGAATATTAATGGGAAGTTAA